ACCAGCGACCTAAGAATAAATATGTAGGATAAAATAATTATCCTATCACCTCTCTCATCAATTTAATGTCAGACTTCAAGTCCTTTTAAGCCAACTTTTTGATAAATAGGTGAAGTTACTATATGGAAAGTTAAATTTTAACCAAGAATAAATCTGTAAAAACATTATTGTTTTGAATCTAATGCTCTTCTAGGAGAGAAAAAAAAAGAGTGAGCTGAATTGATCAAATTGATTAAAGACAAGTTCTGATTATGAAAAAGGCCTGCATGCTGTAAAAGCTGAATTTAATTAAACTCCACTGTGCTTGAACTCACTCTGTAAATGCACCTTTTGTCAGGGTTTGGAACAGATAGTGTTCACAGATTTTGAACAAATTCTCTGTCGCTTGAACGGGCCGATCTCGTCGACGCTGTGCAGGTGATCCGACTTGAAAATATCAAATCATTCTGCGCCTTTCTATTGTTGATGCAATGCTGCTCATTCGCTGAGAAAATACAATCAAATCTAAATATGAAGTCAGTCTGGCTGAACAGCAAATCAGACGCTAATAAGAGAATACTGCTCAGACAGACAACTTGGAGCATTATTGTCTGAACCTAAAGGGTAATTAATTTGGCAGTAAATCCTTTTAGTGTTTTAGTGAGTCTGATGAGAGCTGCAATATGATTTTTTTTTTCTCAGACATCGCTTCAGCCAACCCCCAATCCCATTGTCTGACTGAAATATGGAAATCTGTGCCACCAGAACAATATCCACATTATTTGCCCTGCCTCGACTTTGCTGCCTGACATGCATGAGTGTGCCCTGGCATGTTCAAGTTAGTTTTCCACTTCGATTTTGTTCATTTTGTATGTTTTTGATTTTATTTTCACGAGAACCTCTCTTCTCTGTGCATGCAAATGAACACCAGTTTGTTTTGGTGGAAAACTAACGCATCAAACTCAAAAGACGTTTTCTTCCATTCGTTCTTTAAGGTTAAACAAATCAGTCTGCTTTAAACTGTTAAACTCTTTAAACAAATAATTAATTGCAGTTATCTCTTATCTCTTTGTCACATGTGTGCAGAACACAATCACAACAATGGACTTTTCAGCAAAGTTTTAGTTTATTCACTGAACTACATTATGTCTCCACCATGCATTTAGAATTAAAAATGTATACTTCGCATGTGTGGATTAGTGTTGATTGCTTGTTTCTTGCAGAGCATCCAACATTAACAGGAAGCATTTTATGATTTTTATTTTCTTTTCCTCTAGTTTACTGATTTGCTACTTCTTTGTACTTCTTCAAATCAAACTGGAAGCTTTCTGCCAGCTGCAAAAACAGTTAATTTAGTCGAATGTGGTGCCAAAAAGCAAGAATGTTGGTGTTTTGGATTTTATAAGTGAAAATAAAAAGACAACTCAATATGTTGTGAATCAGATATATCACATTTTACACATACATGATGTATTTATTTAGCCTATTCATTCATTCATTCATTGGACAGGATAGTCTTATGGTTTCTAAAAATAAAAAATAAAAACTGGATGAGGGATTACTTTTAAATATCTCAATGCTGCCACCTAGTGTCTGGAAATTTCTGCCTTTAAATAAAAATAAAAAAAAGAATGGAAAAATGGTGGAAGAGCCCAGCTTCATAAGGGAAGGGAAGTTGGAGGTGGAGAGTGTGAGATTAGTTCTCTGCATTTAACCCATCACACCTGGGATACACCCAGGTAGAGCAGTGGGCAGCTATGTGAGCGCCAGGGGAGCAATTAGGGATTAGGTGTCTTGCTCAGAGACGCCACGATATGTGGACATGGCTGGGAGTTGAACCGCGACTTTCTGGTCCCAAGTCGGCCGCCCTCTACCCCATCTCATAAAGCAGGTTTCCAACATGAGATAATCTTAATAAATACCACCCATCCATTTTATTTACCTGCTTTTCCTTTCCTGGCTGGTGCCTATCACTAACAGTCAATGTGGAGAGAAGGGGTACACCCTGGGCAGGGTGCAAGTCCATCACAGGGCCACGTAGAATCAATCAAGAGTTACCGTTGAATCTAACATGCATGTTTTTGGTCTGTGAGAGGAAACAGGAGTACCTGAAGATAAGTCATGTGTGTATGGAGAAAACATGCAAACTCCACACTGAAAGGCTCCAGGCCTGGAGACTGAGGCCTTCTCGTAGTAAGGCAACAGCTTTAGCCACTGCACCACTGTGCTACCTTCTTCATAAATGAATTTTGAATAAGACGAGGTGAAAGCACAGTAAAGCACAAACTGTAGTTTAAGTCAGATTTCTATTCGATCTTAACGACATTACCGATTTTATTGGCTGTGTCAGAGTGTCCATAAAATGATGACAGTGTAACCATGAGGTTCTCAAGTTGTTGTTGGTATCAGCTCTGAACACAAGAAGAAGGAAAACACAAAAGAGATGTCCATTTGTGGGAAAAAAGAAAAAAAAAAGTCCTGTTACGTCAGCCCCACCTGTCTAGCCTTGAGCTCAGAGGTGAACCAGAGTTCAGCCAAGCTGGAAGCTGTTCCTGTTTGTTTCATCTGGAGCATGTACCATATTTCACCATGACATACTACAGTCGGGGAAAAGACACCACTGTGCAACAGAGGAAACAATTGACCTGGCATGAATGATTTAGAGGTACATATCTACTATAATACCGACACAGGCGGACGGGACTGAGAGCGGGTCTCTATGGCATTGCTGATCCTGCATCAGATAACACCTTGATCATCAACTATGCATGGATCTGGCAAAAGATGTAAGATAACGTCCAAGTGAGAGTAGATTTGTGACCAGTGGCAGTGGAGACCACTGTTAAAACACTGAACCAGAACGCAAGGATAGACCACAAAACACTAAAGAAGAACAAAGGATGCTGCTTCAAAACGTATTTCTAAAATTATTTCTATTCAGTTCAGTTCATTTACATTGCGCCAAGTCACAACAGAAGTCGTCTCATGGCACTGAATTTCTGAACTCATGTCTACACTGGAACAAGACTTAAACCTCAAGACAAACAAAACTCTAAAAAATAAAACACACACCAAAAGAATGAAAATGAAGCAATTTATAAACTTTGCTAAAAATTGCAACAAAGTTTTTTTGTTTTTTTTTGGGGGGGGGGACAAGATGCTGCTCTTCAAATTTAAAAACAGTAATCTGTATAAACATATATCCAGCAACACAAACACAACAACAAGAAGGGGAAAAAAATAATACAAATGGAACAAAAGAAGATCAAAAACAAATGCATCACAAAGTGATGAAGTCTTCCGGATCGAAGGTGAAACGTTTCAGCACAAAAAAAGAAACTGTCCAGATGACCTGACTGAAAAATGTTGGATCGTATACCTGGATTATTGAGCATGGACTTTGTTGCATCACAAAGTGCACTGCTTTTGCAGAGAAAAAAAAGAATTAATCTAAATTGGAAAACAATTTTTTAAAGTAACTTAAAATTACTTCAGAATCAGAAAGGTACCACTAAGAAATGTCATAACACAAAACAACCAAAGATGCACACTACCTAAAATATGACATTAACTTGCAATAAAGACAAAAAATAAATAAATAAATAATGAGTGAAACAAAGGGGCAGCACGGTGGCGCAGACAGTAGAGCTGCTGCCTCTCAGCGAGCAGGTTGCCACGGTTCAAATCCCGGCCCAGAATCCTTCTTGGTGGAGTTTGCATGTTCTCTCCGTGCATTCGTGGGTTTTCTCTGAGTACTCTGGTTTCCTCCCACAGACCAAAAACATGCATGTTAGGCTGATTGGCAACTCTAAATTGTCTCTAGGTGTGAATGAATTAGTGAATGGTTGTTTGTCTCATTCGTCTTCGTGTCCCTGTGATGGACTGGAGACCTGTCCAGGGTGTCTACTGCCTCTCACACAGTGATAGCTGGACATGTGCACCAGTGACCCCCGCAACCTGAAAAGGAATAAGCGGGTAAAGAGGATGGATGGATGGATGGATGGATGGATGGATGGATGGATGGATGGATGGATGGATGGATGGATGGATGG